GAGAGAGAGAGTTAGTTTTTGTTAAGCAAATGAGCACGTGGACTGTGTTATGCCGGTAATTCATTACTTTAATGCGTAGCTTAATATATGAATGAACATTTATAGACTTCAGAGAAAATATATTGGAATATAAATAAAGTTTTCTTCTTCTTTTTAGCTAGGCATCTTTACATTTACTGTTTACACAATATTTCTCCTAGTCTTAATAAATTTAAAACGGGAAAAACGAAAGAAAAATGCTTTCCCACCATAAAATGCTATTTTCCATAAATAAGATTCCCATTTGCTGAAAGTTTTATTTATAGAATTAAATTCTTAGTACAGATTCTAAATTTTATTTTGGAAATAGAATATATATAGAATATATAATAGAATATATACATACATATATGTACGTATATAGAATTAAAACGAGCATCCAATGTATTTACAAACACCTAAACGTTTTCATAGCCTTTGTTGTCGCATTGCCATTTAAGTATGTGCCTCGCTTATCAATAGAGCTGATAGCCTATATATATGTACATATATGCCATTTGGTGCATGCCATCTCAGTTCATAACATCTGTTGTCGTCTTGTCAATCTTGTGTATTTAAAGTACCCCAAGTGAGCGCAGATTGAATTATTAGCAAGTGCTGCCCGACTTGGGTTGATAACAGAATTGAAAAATATTTTTTAATGAAATTTAAAATAAGCTAAATTGTAGGCGTGGGGGAATTATGTAGATTTTCTATAAATCTGATGCGTAGGACATACGAGTAGATGACATAAATCGAATTGAATAATTATAATAGATAATGGATCCCTGATTTAATTGAATAGACACATTATTGCTTCATATAAGCACTATAATTGCCTGGCAACAAGAGATACCAACATAAAGTTGTAGCAGATTGTCCATTGACATTACGCTTGATAATTCATTGCAATAACAGGAAATGTACATATGTATGTATATGTATATATCTTTAATTTCCACACATATATGTAAAGAACACATTTATTTTATTTTTAAACAACAAAAGACACTGCCCGAAAGGTTCAAGAGCTAAGAGCTAAATTAATTACCAGTGGAGCGTCTCTAGTAAAATGCTGCAGCAGCACACGAAAATCACTAAGACAGGTAT